CATAAGTATAGTATAATCACAGATTTATATTTCAATTCGATTGTTCTAGACCAAATTAGGCCAAATAATTTTTGTGCGTACTATAACAACTAAAGCCGTAATTCCGCTGTAGTGCACGGATCACATCTATTTTAACATGTAGTTGAAAGAAAAATACCACCTAATTAAGTTTAAGAGTACACAACAACCCTATTTTTCTGCATTATACCTGAGACTACTATAACACAGTATAGTAGTCTCAGATTATACGCTCAGGAATATGTTTTACTATATTGGATTATTAGCAAATGCTATTTTTCAACTCTAGTCCTCAGCAAAAGCGCTGTTTTTTTTTTATCTGACAAGCTTAATTTCAGATTAAATTAAGTAAGGAGGCTATGAGTTATAATTCGGGTAGGTTTTGGCTGACTTGGTGTCATACCACCTGCCCTGTATTCGGTACTTTTTTCACAAAAATCATATAAATTTCAGCTCCTTCAGTTGCATATAAATATCATTATTCAAAATTTGTTTAACAACTTACACACCTAAGACGAATAGTAATGTATGGCTTAGTACAGCATGCAGGCATTAACCTATCATTCACAGAGATATGACCAGGGACATTGATACTACTATTGATTCTATTAGCTGAGTCTAGAAGTGATAATTTTATTACTAAAAGCTTAAGGAATTCAATTAATAACCTAATATACATGTACACATCTTTATTTCTTACCAGTTTAATATAATGAGTAAATATGAAACAAGAGTATATTTCGATTAAAGTGCCAAAATTCAATGCATCTATGTGTATGTTAGGAGTGCCCTAAAAGTGTAGTCCTCCATGCAAAGGGTCCCCTAAAAGTGTAGTCCTCTGTGCAAAGGGTACCCTTCAAGTGTAGCCAATCATGCTAAGAATGCCCTCTAAGAAAAAAATTACCCTGCCCTTTTCAAAAGCTGCAGGAAACTAATATTAAAAATTTATTTCTTAATAATTGAAAAGTAAAGACAATAAGATAATATACAATGAACAGTGATGACAATGACATACGGTATATAAAATGTTAATCAGGAAAAAAATCTTGCTGAATCTTGAAACGTTTTTCTTTATATATAGCACCACAGCAAAGTCTCATAAGATATCCAAGCCTCAAGTGACCAACACCTCTATCAACCAGTTCAACAATATTGTTTTAACTATTTTTTTAATCATGCACAACTTGCCAGAATATTCAACATGTTTAATGTGGGTAGTACATATATATGGTAGAAGTAGACGCCCTACATAGACCCTACATAATTAGCGTCATGACTGAGGGCTGAACAATAAATAACTTTACCAAATTGCTACAAAAAATTTAAAAAATGAAATATAGAAACATATCTGATGTTGGTCTTGTTGGTAGAAATTTTTTTTATGATGTTGACAAATGAATTATAACAATGTATGATATAATCAAAGAAAAGCTAGCTACAGGTCAATTTTTTTTTTTCATTATTAAATAATTATTTGATAAAAGATAATTATGATAAAATTTTGAAAATATTTCTTCACATAAATTTGATCTATAAGGAAGATCAGGGACAGAAAAAATGAAACCTTGCCAATAGGTGTGGAACTGGAAAAAGCTATCTTTTAACTCTGCAAAAAGTAACCACTGAACAGTATACTGATCATCAACGTCATATGCTATATTCTTCAAAACAGACAGGGCAGTTTTGAAAATAACTTGGCCTTCATATTTCTTATCTTCTTTTCTAGAAACTGAAAATATTGAAAAATTTGTCAGTGCAAAATCCCCTACTGGCCCTACATGTACAATTTGCTTTGCAACAGAATGAATATTGACATGCATGATGACCTGTGAAGTTGTGATTTCAAGTTTTGTGTGGATAAGGTAATTTCTGTTAGAGTGAAGTCCTTATCAAGATAGTTATTATAAATGTAGAGAATTTTATTAATTTTTATTTCAGATGAGTTACATAAAGGCTATAATAAATCCAAATAAAGGACCTCCAGATATGTTTGAAGAGTTGTATCAAAGAAGTCCAGTTCCTAAGGTATAGCTACTGTGTGATTTGGCTAATGAGAAATGGACATTTTCAAAATATATATACTGGTATTAATCAAACAAGTTATTGGAAGAATTCAACTTAAAAGTCATGTGTACACTTTTTTCCGACCTCAAAGAAGTAATGAAGGCATGCTGTTGCAGGTGTCAGCAACAAATAGGTGTCACAAAATAAAAACTCAAACTAAATTTTGAAAGCATTATTTGTATGCAGTACTTCCTGTTATTGCAATGATTAAACTTGCCTTTATACTGTCAATTTTCCAACAATCCCAACAGTACAATAATATCTGAAGTAACAACTTAGAAATGAGAAAAAGCTGACAAGAAATCATTAGATTCTTTGTTTAATTCGATAATGAACATAGTTGATATACGTATTCAACATTTTAAAGAACATCTTACTCCTAACAGCAACCATAATAGCCCAATTTCTCGTATCAAACATAAGCTAAAAGAACTCGCCAAGGAATTTGTTTTTATCCCGGCTGATAAGGCTGCTAACAATATCATTATTGTTTGACGTAAATTTTACATTGAGGTTCTAAAAAAGGAAATCACGATTTCACCAACATTCCAACTGACTCCATTTTCAAAAAAATGACATCTGTAACAAACATAAACTTTTAGCTACCTCTTTACAAGCAGAACCAAATACAATGAAAGTTCCAACTATGTACTGGCTTCCGAAGCTGCACAAAACTCCTTACATATATAGATTTATTTCGTCTTCAAGCCATTGTTCCACTACTAAACTATCTATTATACTTACTAGTACACTTGGTACAATAAAAAACCTGGTAATAAATTGTTAAAATAAGGCCTTTGAAAATAGTGGAATTAATAACTTTTGGAGTGTCAAAAATTCGTTGGAAGTACTTGATAAATTGCATGCTGCTATTTGGTGATTTTGAATCTGTTCAAAGTTTTGATTTTTCTACCCTATATACCACTTTGCCTCATAATCTTATCAAGAAAAAATTCACACACCTGATTAAATGGGCATTTAAAAAGTCGGAATGCGAATACATATGTTCGAACTCTTTTTTAGTAACAACAAACAAAAGAACTATGTCAATTGGACCTGCTTTGATACCATAACTCCCCTTGAATATTTACTAGATAACATTTTTGTTCGCTATGGAGATTCTGTATATCGTCAGGTTATCGGAATTCCCATAGGAACTAACTGTGCACCACTTATTGCGGACCTGTTTCTGTATTGTTATGAGTTACAATTTATGACTAAAATCAGCAAAGACCCATCGAAACAACATCTGATTCAAAAATTTAATAACACTTTTAGATATTTAGATGATATATTGGCTCTCAGTAATGACGACTTCAGTATGTACACTAAAGAGATTTATCCTACCGAACTGACTTTAAATAAAGCTAATACTTACAATGAACACTGCCCTTTCCTGGATCTTGATATCTATATCTTTAACGAGAAGCTGAATGCCAAAATTTATGATAAAAGAGATGATTTTTAATTCCTATTGTTAATTATCCATTTTTTTTTGTTGTTGTCTCTTTGACATATTCCCCATTTCCATTCTTAATTTTATTTTTATTAGATGGTGACGTTCCCTTGTCACCATCTTATGGTGTTTATATATCTCAACTTGTTCGATTCGCTCGTGTATGTAACAACGTATTTGATTTCAACGAAAGAAATCTCTGTATTACTGAAAAATTATTACACCAGGGTTTTCGATATCACAAACTAGTCAAAACATTTACTAAATTTTATCATCGGTACAAGGACATCATTTGTAAATATAAATCAACATGCAGACATCTTATACGTTCAGGTATTTCACATCCAATATTTTATGGTAATATTCTTTACAAAGCACAGAAATGTCGGCATTCACCTCAAAAGCTAACCAAACCTTTAAACAGACTTATTCGGAAGGGATATAGTTACGATACTGTTGTCAGGTCATTAAGGATTGCATAATTTGGTATCAATATTGATTGACTCATAGGGTCTTTGCATCGGAAATAAACACATTTATTCTAAAACCAGTTGTTGGGATGATACAGGTTATGTTCTTCTCATATATTTTATGATGGTATGATGCTAAACCCCTAACGGGAGGGGTTTGTACCTGATTTTCATATGATGAAGACATAATCTTTCAATCAGTTTAATTGAGGTTTGGAGCTGGCATGTCAGTAACTGCTAGTAGTCCTTTGTTAATTTATGTATCATTGTCATTTTGCTTAGTTTCTTTTGTTACCTTTTCTGACATCGGACTCAGACTTCTTTTAAACTGAGTTTTACTGTGCGTATTGCTATGTGTTTCTTTATTCTACATTGGCTAGAGGTATAGGGGGAGGGTTGTTATCTCACAAAACATGTTTAACCCCGCCGCATTTTTGCGCCTGTCCCAAGTCAGGAGCCTCTGGCCTTTGTTAGTCTTGTATGTTTTTTTAATTTTAGTTCCTTTATGTTTTGGAGTTTAGTGTGACGTCCATTTTCACTGAACCAGTACACAATTTTATTTAGTGGACAGCTGAGGACCACCTCTGGGTGCGGGATTTTCTCGTTGCGTTGAAGACCCATTGGTGGCCTTCGGCTGTTATCTGCTCTTTGGTAGGGTTGTTGTCTCTTTGACATATTCCCCATTTCCATTCTCAATTTTATTATTGTAATTTGTGCTTTGATTTCTTGTCAGATTATAAGTTTTATAAAGAAATAGTTTTTACATGTGATCAGAAACAAAGCATATATTTTAAACTATCTTTCATGATTTTATAAAAAAAAACCATGAAATTAATGGTAAACATTATTCTACTTGTGATTTTTAAAAGAAAATCCCTAATTAACCTTAAACTAAGGTACATGAAAGTAAAGAGTGTTGTATGTACAGTAATAGAGGCCATGATACAGTTTATATTGTTACTGATGTATCTATTTTTCAGAATCTTTTTTTGAATTCATCAGGAATCAGTGTTAATGCTTCAACACAGGGAGGATCAATACATGTACAGAAAAGTCAGATCTTTAATCAGTTGAAGTCACAAAATTCTTTTAAATCCCCTCCAGCTATTTATACCTCAAAAAGTTTTCATGAACAGAGTTTAAATAAACCAAATTACCCAACAAATCTTGATTTACCTAGACAAGGCAATGCTGTACAAATATCCAACACTGAAAGTTGCTACATACAAGTGAATGGCCCTAAAGACAATTTTGATGGAGATATAAGTAACAATAGTAGAATATCCTGGCAGAACAATACATTTCGTAGTGACATTCAAGACAAAAATAAACAAAACAGACTTGATGAAGTGGATGGGGTAGCCCATAAAAGTAGTGTTAGTTTTTCTCATAACAATTCAGTTCAGACTTCTGAATCTCACAGTGAAGACTTAACAGACAGGTCAGTAAGAAATTCTGCCAGAGCTTCTATGTCAGCTGCAGCTATATTTAAAAAGATAAAACTTTCATCCCCAAGTAAAGAATTAGAAAGCATTTCTATTGAAAACCAGGAAAACCAAGATCCTGAATCAAGTTCAAACGCCAGTTCAAATGATTATGGTTATCCTATAGAAGTGAATATTCAGACTAGGAAGGAGGTAACACATGTAGGGGCAATGAATCGTCAAGAGGACTCTATACAAGAGGCACCATTTGAAAGAGTTACGAATCGGAATGATATAATGCAGGACCATGGTTTACAGATATGTAAGGATGATGAAGAACTGGACACTTCCATATACAAACTTTATAGCTGGATCATCAAACCTATCCCTGAAGTTAAAGGGATCTGTGTTGAAGGGAAAAAGAAGTAAGTCATGTCTAGATAACAAAAAAAACAATTGTTGTACAGGGTACATTTTTGTAAGTGTTCTTCCCACTAACTTCATATAGCATCCTTGTGAACAGAGAATTTTGAAACTCTATCTTGTATCCAGAAATTATAGCATCACAATCTTTAAGAAAATCATTTCAGATAGCAACACATTCCAGCAATTTAGCATCACATTACAGATACATAAAATATGACTGGGAATCACATTAAAGATACATACAATATGACTGGGCATCACATTCAGGCAATTTAGCATCACATTACAGATACTTAAAATATGACTGGACATCACACTCAGGCAATTTAGCATAACATTACAGATAGTTATAATATGACTAGGCATCATGTATCTTACAGATTTATTTTATTTTCAGTCCAAATGATGATCAGTTTTTTCAAAGTAGTATCGTGACAACCCGTATTAAGAAGAATGTAGTGAGAACATTAAATGGATCAAAGTATAGATTGATTGGGAATATTGAAAAACTTGATGCTTTGGATGCAGGTATATTTATTCACCATCTTTAATTTACATCTTTTTTCTACTGTAAAATTGGTATTAATATTGATTTTTGTTTGTCACATACATAAAAGCAGTTTTTGTGATTGATGGAAAAATGGAGAGAAAAATCAGTGAAATTAAAACAATAGAGATCCTAAAAAAGAAAAGCAACCTAAACAGACTGGTCAATACTGTATAAGGTCAACTATGCCTTAGGGAGGTGTAACTTAAGTTTAAGCACAATTACATAGTTTTGCAAACTAAATATTTACTGACATAATGTAATATTTAATTCATGCCAATATCAAAGCACTGGCTAACAGGTGGATGGTATGCTCTATGACTGACAAAGTTGTAGTAAAAAACGTATGGTATGAATTCCATGTGCACGCCACATGTTTCTGTATTAACCTTCATCAGGTACACTCAGGACCAAAAGTTTGGAATGCAGATTTTCAAAACATTTTTTGTTAAACAAAGATATATTGCAAAATATCCACATGTTAAAAACTTGGTATATACATGTACCTTACATATCACATCACTCTTATTATACCCCCGTTTTAAAAAAGTGGGGGTATACTGTTTTACCTCTGTCTGTCCGTCAGTCCATCCATCAGTCCGTCCATCCATCCCATGAATATATTTCGTCACACCTTTCTCAGGAACTACATTACAAGGATTTCTGAAATTTGGTTTCAGGGTTTATATGAGTCAGCTATACCGTGTGATGCGTTTTCAGATTCATCACTCAACAACTTCCTGTTTACCTTATACTTGTAGCGGGTGGGGGTATCATTAGTGAGCAGTAGCTCACAGATTCACTTGTTTTGTTTGAAATAAATCCTTTTATTAAAAATTTGAAAAAATCTTTTTCATTTACAAAAAGTATTTTTCATATATCATGGATATAGTACAAACTAAAATTAACTTTGGAATATTAAAACATTTAATAAGATTTTATTTACTTGTAGGTATTACTGATGATGTTGTGAAAGTCTTTATTAAAGGTTTCCCACTTCAATGGAAAGCCAAAATCTCAGAGTACTTTGATAAGGTGAAATTTGTTGATGAGACACAAAAAACACTTGATGGTAAGTTTGATCATTTTAATACAGGGTAGTGATTGTACATATAAAAGTAAGGCTTAACAAAAATATTTGTATTGTTACCAGACCAGTACTGACTTTACTGTAGTATTTTTACAAACATGGCATCAGAAAATACCAAGACCTTGTTGATAAATATTCCGTATCAACTTCACAAATAATACATGATGGTCTTGATATATAGATTCTAGGTACTGATGTTGTTTATCATCTTAATTACGTGTTATAGTGTTCTTTTATTTGTCTTTGTAAATTATTAATGTTTACCGTTTGGTCCATTTTTGGTCATATCCTTTAGACATGGCTCGGTACTTGTACATCCCGCCATTGTGTTGTTGTCATTTTTTGTATGCTTGTGTTTCAATGTTGCGTATGTGCTTTGTCTATATGCCATTTTGTTTTTCTTTGTTGACATATTTGGTTTTTTTTTATAGTGATTGCAATTGAGATTATAGCACAATGTTGAATGCTGTACCCCTATTTTTGACATTTTTACCTATTATGTCTGTTTGTTTTGTTCACACATTGTTGTCAATATAATGGAATTTTATGCAACTGTCATACAAGTGAGAGGTTTAGCTAGCTTTAAAACCAGATTTAATCCACCATTTTCTACATAAGAAATGCCTGTACTAAGTCAGGAATATGACAGTTGTTTTCCATTCATTTGATGTGTTTGAGCTTTTCATTTTGTTGATTGTTAAGGGACTTTCTGTTTTGAATTTTCCTTGGAGTTTGGTATTTTTGTTGATTTACTTTTGATTCATTTATATTTTTGAAGTCTTCTTGGCCAAAATTGACTTGCATATTGAAATACAGAATGTTATTGTGATATGACTATATATATATAAGTCTTGCTAAAAAAGAAATAAAAAATGCCAACTGACAATCAAACCCTATTTTTCTATGGTAAAAATTTATTCAGTTTTTATTTTGTTTAATTTTTTTTTACTGAAGTCTGTTTATTAAATACATGGTATGGGTTTTTCTCATTGTTCAAGGCCATATGGTGACCTATAGTTGTTTATATCCTCTTTATTTGAACTCTGTTTATAGTTTTCTCATTACTTTTATGTACATAGAGGAGCTGTGCCCTCTATTTTGGGCCAGCTAGGACACTGTAATTTATTTACAGCTCGTCCTACAAATTAACCTGATGTTGTGTGTGGTTGTTAATGTCAGTTGTAAACAATTTTGAAAAAAGTCATCAACAAAGAAATGAGAAGTTTTAACTTTAAAAGAAAAGGTGAAGGTTATTAAAAAATTGTATAGGCAAAATGATGCCTTTAACCGGACTTAAATAAAAAGGTTTATGAATGCTAGATAGAAAAACATCCAAATAAGTGGTCAAATGTTATAGGTAAAAGCCATGTTTATGTCAGCTTAAGTGAGCGTAGATGATGTGCATGATTTACTGTCTAATGTAAAAAGAAATGAATTGTAAAAAAATCTCAATTTAAAAAAACAAATAATCATATTGTTAATCAATTTTAATTTACAAAAGCAAACACAGTACATATATAAATATTAATTCAGTAGTATATGGGGTAATCACACATAAGACAATAGCATTGTGTCGATAGAAACCATTACAAGATATCCCAAAAGGAGAGGCCACTTTTCCTCTGCAGCAAAGGGCTGTCTTATAATGGAGGGACTTCTGTTGTCAGATTGTAAACAGACTTCATTTGATCTACATGTTATTGTACCTCATTAATTAAATGGTGTTTTTTAAAGATTTTTATATTTTTTCAGGAGAAAGAGTAGAAGCTGAAGCAGTAAATGATATTGTACTTGATGATAAGATTCCTAACAAGACTGATCATCAACAAGAATCAACAGACAGGATTTCAAGTGAAAATGTCCTGACAGACTGGATTATTAGACCTATAGGAACATCAGATATTTGTGTTGATGGTAAAAAGAGGTATAGATCAAAATGCCCTAAACTTCATTCGAGTTTCAAAAAGAATTTAAGCCAGCCAGACATTTTGTTTTCAACACCATTTTTGTCTTGCTTGCATCAAATGTCTTAGAATGCATGACATAGGAATGCTAATCCTTCAGCAGGGATATCGTAAGCTTTTTGTATAAAGGTTCTCATTTCATATAAAGGAAGAAGAGCTGGATAACCAATATCTAGTTTACTGTTGCCTTATATTTACTTGTCTACGTTTAATTATGAAGTTTTCGCCTGGCATGTGCCTTTGGTCCTTGAACTTATTTTCTTGGTTCAATAACTACTAAACACTATTTTTTATTTTCTTGGTTCAATAACTACTAAACACTATTTTTTATTTTCTTGGTTCAATAACTACTAAACACTATTTTTTATTTTCTTGGTTCAATAACTACTAAACACTGTTTTTTATTTTCTTGGTTCAATAACTACTAAACACTATTTTTTATTTTCTTGGTTCAATAACTACTAAACACTATTTTTTATTTTCTTGGTTCAATAAATACTAAACACTATTTTTTATTTTCTTGGTTCAATAACTACTAAACACTATTTTTTATTTTCTTGGTTCAATAACTACTAAACACTATTTTTTATTTTCTTGGTTCAATAACTACTAAACACTGTTTTTTATTTTCTTGGTTCAATAACTACTAAACACTATTTTTTATTTTCTTGGTTCAATAACTACTAAACACTATTTTTTATTTTCTTGGTTCAATAAATACTAAACACTATTTTTTATTTTCTTGGTTCAATAACTACTAAACACTATTTTTTATTTTCTTGGTTCAATAACTACTAAACACTATTTTTTGTATCAAATGATATTTACAGTTAATATGCTGCTGTATGGTGATCTCATTCATAAACCATAAATAATGGAGACCTATGGTCTTTTGAATTAATGTCCTTTTTTTATGACCGTCAAATTGACATCATAGTCAAAGGTGCTACATAAGGTTGAAACCAATCTGTTGACAGTTATAGAAAGTATTTGCCATGAAATTTTTAAATCTATTTTTATTGGTTGGCACATGAAAAAGTCATGCATTAAGTTTTTTTAGGAAACATATGACCTTTTACACCTGAGGTGATCTTGTGTAAACTTGAAGTAGTCATGTTTGCACTAATTTGATGTAAAAATTCATAAAAATCATAAATTTTTGGCATCAGAATGAAACTATCAAATGTTAACCTTAAGAAGTAAATTATCTCTCTTATTTCAAGCAAAAGTACATAGAAACCTGTATAGAAAAGGAGGCTATCATTTTACACTGGAAACATTTTTAACTTGAAGTAGCTGATTGTCTCCCTTATTTCATAGAATGAACTACAACCTATATATTTTGAAATCTGTGTAAGATAACCTATCTTCTGACACCGATATTGACTCTTTAAACAGAAATTTACTGTTTTATTATCATCGTGTTAATTTGAAGGTGTCAAGGCCCTCAATAGATTTCTTAACAATTGTTTTTTTTTTTAATTTATTGTACTTTTTTACAGTGGTACAGAAGAATACTGGCATAGCACTGCTATAGATTACATCATAGACAAAAGAACCTTGGTTACAACTTCAGGGACTGTCTATAAAATACAGGGTCAAATATCCCAGCTGGACATGTTAGAATCAGGTATCAGATTACTGCAATGTATTTGCTTGTAGACATTTACATATTGATATACAAAGAAATCAATTTTCCAGGACTTTATTTATCACAAGATGGCATCTTTGTACAATTGTCACTTATTGATGTATTAATCCATCTGTTAGTTTATTGTAAAGGTAAAGTTTGAAGAATCTCATTTAAACTCTTACAGATTAGGAATGCTAGTTTGCTTATATTGTAGTTTATTTTTCTACATGAAAAAAAGAACATTTCTAATTAAATTGGACAGTTAAATCACACAAAATTGAAAAGATATGATTTAACTTTTTAACATGCCAAAATAATTTCTACGGTAGAAAGTAGTATAGTCCACTTTTTTGGTTAGCCATCTTTAGATCTTTAGATCTATTCCCCCAATCCTAGCTTCTGCATTCTAAGTTGTGGAAATTATTTGTGCTTTTTATAAGGAAACAACATAGATTTATAACATAGATGTGATTTGAAACAGAAAATGAATGTACAGAATGGTTTTTTGGATGAACTGGGGGGAAAGTCATTTGGTACAAATCAATATTCGATGTTAAGGACACCCGCCTATTTCCCGTTTACCTGTGAAGTCATTGAGTGTCATCTGTTTTTTGGTTTATGTTTATGTTTAATAAAGTAAATAAAATATTGTGAAGAACTTCGAGACCTAGTGTTTGAAAATTACGGGAGAAAATTGGGAAAGAGATTTGAAGGAAACTTGAAATTTACCTTGCAAATAACCAAAACGAAATGTTTGATAAAGAAGGAACGAGGGCCTACAAGTCCCTGGAAGCTTTCAAGAACTTTGAGGAAGTTTATGTGCAGAAATATCATCTTTGGAGATTCAGTATTATTACCTGATACATGCTGACGTAATGGCATTAATTGCCAAACAGTACTGTAGAAACATTAATTTTCGTGGGGTTAAAATTTCGTGGTTTTGTCTCTATATAAAATTTCATGGGGATTTAATTTCGAGGTTTCCATTAAATGGAAGTGATACTATATGTAGGTCAAATTTTGTGGGGGTTTTAATTTCGTGGATATATTCTTTCCACGAAATAAACGAAATTAAATCCTCCACGAAAATTTCTGCTTTTACATTCAACGGTGACACTATACATAATTTATTCTCTTTGGCATGTGTCAGGTGGATATAGATAAACAATTTAACCCATATGATTGTCATGTAAAACGGAGCTTTTTTGAAAAGTTGTTGCTGGTCATAACACAAAGTCGATATCATGAATGATATTATGCGAAGTATTCAATAAAATATAACCATGGATTCATAAATGTTATGTTTTCCATATTGTATAAAAAGTTTGATCGTTTAACCTTGGAACAGTAAATACGTTCCTTGTTCAACCCATAATAAAAAAAAAATTCCCATAAAAACAAACAGCTACATGTCGTCGTATGGAATTAAACTCTTAGCAAAAAAGCCACACCCACTAATAAGCTATACAATATCTTGACTCGGACTGTTGCATTTTGAACAAACAAGTGAAAAGTCCTGCGCAATATCGAACAAAACAGTTTCAACATTCATATATCATTGAATTTCATTATGTTTGACAAAGATTTTGATGTTAAACAAAACTTTAACCACAGACTGAACCTAAATGCTGACGACGGAATCTAGGATCGCCAAGTCTCGCTTACGCGAAATTAATGTCGCAAGCTGCAAGCTTGACAAAAAGAAGGATGTATGTCAAAAGATCCAAGTAGGCAGTTATTTCACTCATAAATCTTGAAGATCTCCTTGCTTTCAACAAGACGACAATCATTGTTTTTTTTTTTTCTAGAGGTGGGTGGGGGGTACTTTTTTCTAAATTAATTGTAATATTACAATATTTTTTTCTCACATTTATTATCATTTTTGTCGAGCCTGCGACTTTTGTCGCAGAAAGCTCGACATAGGGATAGTGATCCAGCGGCGGCGTTAGCTAACTTCATAAAAGCTTTATATTTTAGAAGGTGGAAGATCTGGATGCGTCATGTTATGAAGTTTCCGTCAGTCACATGTCCAATGTCCTTGACCTCATTTTCATGGTTCAGTGACTACTTGAAAAAAAAGTTAAGATTTTTTGTAATGTTAAATTGTCTCATATTATAAGTAATAGGATAACTATAGTTGGTATGTAGGTACCTTGCAAGGTCCTCATGCCCGTCAGCAAGGATCCGGAAATTTTTCCAGACAATTTCGGTCATTTTGAGATGTTTGAAAAGTTGGTGCCCCTTTTCAAATTGTCGATATCAACTTGACTATATTCATAGCATCAACGAACATGACGAACTTGTATTGCTGTTTCATCGCATTTACTAAGTTAATGTCTTACCATTACCATGAAGGACAGTTTAGGGAAGGCAACAGTCTAAAATTGAAATGATTTTAATGACTCGACAGAGCTCCAGATAAAAATTCACAAATTGGGGTTTTTACCCACCATTTTTTTTATGTAATTGGGTGATAAAGTTTTTTAATTGCATTATCAATTCCAATTCACCCCTCAAGCAAATATCAAATTGGGTTTTTCACCACCAAGCTCCTTAATGTATTGGGTTTTTTCATCAACACAATATTGAATATTTAGGCATGTTATAATCACATTATATCAACCCCAGATGTGTTTCCATCTTAAATGTGTTTCTTTCTTTGTAGAATATGTGCTAGCTGTTTTATTTGGTTTATTCACTGACGAGCAATTGTACATTTAATTTGTGTCCCGTTTTAAACGTTCTGTCAGTTTTGTATTTTCTCAAAACTTATGTAAACTGCAGCTGGTGTCACTAGTTGGACAGGAACTAATTGCCTTTCTAGATCCCATATGATCACCCTACAGTTTAATTAGAGTTGGGGTAGGTGCGTTGCTAAGTGTTTAGATTTTTGTGTAATATATGTGAAATGTAGGTGCTGTAAGAAAGTTTTGCCAGTCCTTTCACCTATTTGCCAGATCTACTTTTTAATAAAAATAAAAAGTAGTTTCCAGATTTAAGATATACCCCAAAACCTTGAGGTTTATAGGGTGGTTTATAATGACGGAGACCACATTCAACTTAAATTTACAAATAATTCTGCAACATCAAGTAAATAAATGACAATGTTATACTTCACTTGCAAATAAGACAACTATCTTAAGCATCTAGAACAATTAGACCAAAACAAAGAAAGTGTCAAGCTGCATTGACGTAAAAAACGGATATGTGTTTTCACTCATCAACTAAAATGAAAAAAATAATATATAAACTGTTTTCGTTTAATTCAATTTAGATAAATCTGGGTTAAATTGTCCCTTATCAGAACTTTTGGTTTCCGATGCTTTCAAACTACATATCATGTCATAATTGATTTGGCCTTTCACTTTTTCCAACTGATTTCGTTTTTGACGGAACCCTGTGTTTATCGCTCTAGCAATGTTCTCGTTATGGTACGCAAACACGCCCGTGCGTTCAATGGCCGCTTCCTAAAATCACTAGCTGAGTCTTGTTATCATCATAACTTTCCCTCAGCTATCAAAAAGAAGCCGAAAAAATGCTTCTACATGTTCTATAATCTATTCAATATTTTTACCGGACATTTACTTTTGTTTTTATTTCATTGTATGTTATGATAAATCCCGAGCAATTCGAAAAAATATGACATCACTAGCCTAGCATCCTGACCCAATCTAATACTTCGTCGTGCAGTGAGCCAGGACCCCATGCTAAGCATGTCACACGCTAATTGGATAAACGCCAAGAAGATCGAAATGTTTTCATAAACATGTGTACCTTTTGAGCAACGGAAAATTCCAACAGGGACCCATTACAGCTACTTGATGCAGGGCTCTATTTTTAGAACGAAAGGACATTTCCAATTATAAATATTATAAAAATAGATTTACGCGACGACTGTAATCAAGTAAGGGTAAATAACGCAAACGATAGTGAATAAAAGCGTTAAGAACCCATGTTTTTGGCATTTAATTGGGTTTTCCTTTGAATTAATTGGGTTATTGAACCCTGCAATGGGCAATTGCATTGGGTTTTTAATTATTTTTATTGCGTGATCACGCAAATACGCAGCTTATCTGGAGCTCTGACTCAAAATGGTTAATTTCTCAGACATTGCTTACGTTTCTTTCGATTTGACAAAAGTTAAAACCGGAAGTTTGCGATATTTTAAAGTACGAATAATTCCTGATTCATTTCCGGGATTTGTTTTGTTTATCAAATTGACAGGAAATCACCGGCTTTTTATGGCTTTTTTATTTTATTACCTTTAAAAATGTTTGAATATAACAGATAATAGTTGCACTCGTTTAATTAAGCATGAAATCAATTTGCATTTAAATGATTTTACGATTAAATATTAAATTTGCTGAAGACAATTTCACGCATGCGTATTACATAGTAAATAAAGCACATGTGTTACTCATGAAAAAAAACTTTTTTCTTCGTAAATTTAGATTTAATTTTTAAATCAGAATTGATGACTGTCTTTGATGAAAAGTAAATAAATAATGAATACACTTGTCAGGGAACTTTAATGTTTTAAAGATATTATTCTGATCTTGTGATCACTGTCAGGTGTGAATTAAAACCACAGGTAAAAAGTGATTAGCGATCATTAGCCAATGTTTCCAGGAGGCATTGATATAGATATTAGGAGGGCCCTCAGGATTATCAAACTATTGTAGTGGCAGTTTTATTACAGGAAAGGATTTATAAACAAAAACAAGTGATCACAAGTGCAAAATGGCGATTAAGAAATCCGATTTCAAACATTGAGTCAATGAAATGACCGAAATTACTTCTGTAAAAAAATAAAATTTGTCCTAAATCCCAATTACTCGTTTAGGACAAATAGTTTCATCTTAGGACATGACTGGCAAATATGACCGTTTCCGGACCCTTGCCCGTCAGACAGTTTTCACTTTACCTCGACCTCATTTCATGGATCAGTGAACAAGGTTAAGTTTTGGTGGTCAAGTCCATATCTCAGATACTATAAG